GTTTCCGCTCGTAATAAGCTCGCTGCGCTGATTGCGGCCGCGCGGTGAAGGTATGATCTCACACCTGTCAAAATGAGTAGCTGTCACTCGTGTCTGGTCTGTACTAGTGATCTCTGCAATTACTTACTGTACTGTACGTGTACTCTCAGTAACATCAAGTGGGCTTCTCCAATGCGTCGCTGCGGATTCTGTATTTAATCCTTTGTCTCTCTAGTCTTCGATATAGTCCTTGGACTTGGAGCATCTGTTGAGTAATGAGGTTACATGACACAAACTCCACGGCATATCGAAGGGGGGACATGTGTTTCCTGTACGGCTGTTGAATTGCGTCACTTGTTGATTAAGTTGATTTCAAACGTTTTTTGTGTGTATGTTTTCTCGTAGTTAAATTAAAACAACAAATATTGATGTAAATGTTAGTCGTTACTTATATGTGGGTGGTGGTTTTGTAAACTGTTCGTTACGATTGTGCCTTGTGTACAGATGGGCGGCCGTGGCTGTGCCAACCTGTGTTGGTTGGCTGTGTTGTGCAAGTGCCACTAGGTCTGAAAGTAACTGTAGAGAATTGATGAATGACAACTGGTCACGTGTTGTCAAGCTTTCGGTTATTGGCGTGCTGTGCGGCAGCAGCGCCCTTGTCAGCGATGCCATATACATACGGTGTTCCTCGTTAATCAGTTATTTGCGTGTGTGTTTTTTTTTGTTTAATCGTTGAAGGTACAAAAAATTTTCTATGGTTATTTTATTGCGTGCTGCTAATATGTGTATGGGGTTTCTACAGCTATAGGTTATGTATCTGTCCCTGTCAGTGCTATGTCTATGACTCTCTATTTACTGTATTGTATAGGTTCGTATACATGTTTGCAAGTTGTCGCTCGTACGCATTTTCAGATATGGGCGGAGAGGCGTGTTCCTCCTCCGCGCCGTATCATGTGACTTTTGTGGATGAAAGCGGGCATCGGTTGGTTCCGGGTTATCAGGTGCTACTATTTTTATCTGTGTTTCTTTTTTATATCTAGATATTGTGTCTTGGCCAACTCTACGGTATGTAATTGCATGTATTGTGTTGCTACGTATTGTTTGCGTTGTTGATTCGCTTGTGATGAAATTGAGATGATGACGGTTTGTACTATTAGTTATACTATCGTTAGGGTTCTATTCCAGGGTCTGCCGACTGTCCTGGGTCGGTCCGGCTAGGACCCGGAACGCCCTGGTAACTATCTGATATGGTTATGGTTGGGTGAGCGTAGGGTCCTAGATTGTTAGTGGAGTAGGCGAGGTTGGTCGGTATTAGTGTAGTACGGGTTAGTTCTGGCAGTTCCTGTGGGATCTGCGCCTTGGACTAACTGACGTGCATCCTCATATGATGATTGTGATTTATCTCGTTTTAGTGATCGGCGATGCGTTAACAACTCTCCAAACGCAAATGTCTAGTGCGGCCACGTTAAGTGGTCGGACCTTTTTATTATAATCCTGGTGACTCAAACGCTCGATGGCTCGCACGATTCGGCGTTACTGGTTCTGATACCATAACTATATTGCATCAGTTGTGTTGTGATGTGTCTTGGTCGGTGTACGTAAGGTTTAGGAGTATCATCAGAGGACCATAGGAGTGCTAGCTGCTATGCTTGAGACTTCGTCCTAGCGCTCGCTCGCTTCAATTAGTCCCGAATTTTCACCTAACCTGACTTCTGTACCGAGATAACTTCACTCTCGCGCCCGTCTGCTTGTACAATGAGCACCGAGATCTCAGGTGATAGAGTTCATGGGTTGCATGAAGGTCGTCTGCGGTGAAGACTACGCTGCGGGTTCCTATTAGTAAATCGTTTTTTAGTTCCACTGTGTAATAATCGTGTGGCTCCACTGTATCTGTGTCTGGTTTCGGTGGGTTTCATGGTTCCGTCAGAGTTGATGGTTTCATGCAAGGGATGGGGTGTCTATTTTTAACCGTGAGGTGGGTAGCAGTGGGAAACTGTATTTTCTTTTACTGCATTGATCTTGGACGACTAACGCAAGTTGGACACTTCTGTTTTATTATAGTTTTCGTTAGTGTTAGAAATGTCTGATGGAAGGGTAGAAAATTAGAGGCAGGGGGTATGATTTTCGCTAAGTGCGGTTGAATTGGGTAAGAAGTTCGTTAGTCTTCTATATGAGAATGTCGGTATGGACCCGGTTAAACTCATTGTTTTCATGTTAGTGTGTGTAGTTAATTGTTAGATTCAAGGCTAGCAAACAGGACCACATGTATAAGTGTGTAGTCTCGGTGTTGTTGTGCTTATATTGTCGTTGTGCCAGGTTATAATTTTTAGGATTCAGCTTTTATTGTAATAAGTATGTATGTATTGTTATGATGAGTAATTTGGTTCTAATAATTTAAATTTAAAATTTTAAAATAATTGCTTTGCTCGGACAGGTAATCGGCATGAATTGAATAGTTTGTATTTGCCAACGGCCTGTCTATATCACCGTCTCCATCTATGTTTGCCCTCCAGATTGTCGCATTGCGAGCACCCTTTATATTCGGCCGCGTGTGTGCGTTCTGGGTCCCAATTTATGGAGCGTCTACTTCGTAGTCAAGATCAATGTCCACTAGTAATCGGATTAGGTGATGTGTATATACCTCGGTTGCTGGATGTGGGGTGCGAGAGTGTGTGTGTTGATGTGGTTGTTATGCTGAGGTTGTGGGGAGTGGAGTAGAAATTGCTATGCCAGGCTATTCTTGGGGTTTTCTTTGTGTATAAGTATTTACTTCATTGAGTTGTTTCTTATGCAAATTGGCCTCATTGGATTATGAGCGTTCTTTTGTTAGCACTATCTCTAGCATATTGTACTGTTCGCACGTATTAACCTATATCGTATGCTTGCATTTTTTTATTTTTCCAGTTTGTATATGCATTTGGTGTTGATCATCGTCAGGTGGTTTGGGACCCGGTATGTGTTTTCGCCATGCTGATACTATCCGGGGTGCTAAATAGCTTGGGCCCGTCTGTTCTTTATCTAATTTTGCGTGTTAATGGCATGTCATTTTCAGAGTTCAGATGGCTGTATTATGTTTATTTTTGTTATATGTACTATATGGCTAGGAGTGAAATTGTTTGACATGTGTAGTATGCTGTTTATATTGGCCAGGAGATTGGGCATGTCGTGATATATGTGTGTGCTGGGTGGGGGGGGGGGTGCGTTGTCCTGCGATTTATTTATGGTGTCTGTTGTATCCCGATGCAAAATCGATATAGGTCATTGAAATTAACTGAATGAAGTGCGTACAATTCGTTTTCTAATGAGTGTGCTTGTAAGTTTCAGATTAGCTGCCATTGTAGTAACGTTCTGGAAATACTGCATATGGAGTGTTTTTTACTGTGTGATATTGAGTGTGAGTGAATGTCGGGACTCTGGTGAATTGGTTTGAGTTTAGGTGGTAGCGTTCCGCTCGGATTGAGATGTGTTGCCGATACCTTTACAATCGTGTGGATAGCGTAATTGAGAGATTTAGTGCCCTGTCCCACGATTTACGACTCTATTAGAACATTTCGCTGAAATGGGGTGTCTAGCGAGGTCGCTTTGAACGTTTGGTATGTGTGAGCGTTTATAGGCGATCGTTAAGTTAGGATTGCGCGTGTCTTTGAACGAATGAGAGTGTATTTATTGGGATGATACGTGCCACGGCACATGTGTTTTATTGTCCCTCTCTTCTTAAACGCTGTTACAGTTAAAAAAAATTCAAAAGGATTTGAACGTACATCTGTAATCTGGGACGTGTTGACTTCAGGCAACGATCTTCGCGCGGGCTCTAGATTAATGATTCTCAATGTGTTAGATGTTTTTGTGCTGCTCTACGCTACTTTTTTTGTGTTTGCAGTAACAGGGCCTGAATTATCTCTTTCGATTTTTGGCGTCCTCTGCACCGATTCGTGTGATTATGAATTGTCAGTCTTGTGTTCTTTGCTTTCTTTTGATTTTGGGTAGGCAGCCGAACTGCTTAGCGATATGTGATCGGAGGGACATGGAGGATTATATTCTCGTGCCGATAGATTACTATAGATTGTGACGTATGTCGACATATTCAGTCTTACTGTTAGATTACCGACTCATACTATGTATGCATATTCATCCATGCATCTGCTATGCATTTGCTATCGCCCTTTATCGCCATTTTTGGTTGTCTGCGTAGCCTCTGGCTAGATGCTCATGGTTGCTTGCTTGCTGCTGTGCTATGTATGCTTGCTATGCTTGCTTGCTTGCTATTGCTATGCTATGCTATGCTTGCGGGTTGCCTTGCTTATGCGTATGCGTATACTTCGGTAGAGCTTACTATAGGTATACTATTATCTTATGTACGGTATTATCTGGTACTATATATACTATAGTGGGGTCTTTATTCTATATTCGGATACTTCGATACTTCGTCTATACTTACTATTCTTATTATCTTCTTATTTCTAACAAGTAGATTTAGTCAGTGGGTTCGATCGTGTATAGTGACCGGGAGTTCGATGGTCATGTCTGTTCGCATAGATCGGCATGTTATTTTTCCACCTCCCTACCCGCCCTACTGGTGCTCCCCCCGTCATCGAAGTCAGTTGTCGAGTCTGCCCCGCGCTCCGGCACGAGCCGTTGTTCTTAAGCAGCTGATCAGTCGTTTGCTCGTGTGTTGTATTATGCTTATTAACCGAATATAATCATATAAGTATGTTAAATAATGAAAATATAAGCTTTGTGATTTTTCTCTCCATGGCTATGTTTCATAATGCTAACCGTGACAAAAAATTAATCAAGACGGGGGGTACAACAGTGGGGAGAACAGCACATCGTTATAAACACCGTTTCTTTCTCGTGGTTGATATCGATTATGACACAATCATTCATTACATTTTCGATTTAGTTAATATATATATATATATATATATATATATATATATTCAAATTATAATATAAATACTCATACGACATTACATTGTAGACACAGCTTCAGCTTAGTGTAATTGACGATGCTGTCTTACCGAGAGCGAATGCGACCGTGTTCATGCAGATCTTGTTCTCCATTTGCTCCGCCGCTGGCACGGACGCTGTCTTGATGGGGAGACGTGCGAGAGGAAGCTCATTATTTCCGGCCGAACCCACTGCAGAAAAAAAACACAAACTTTAACCAACGCAAAGTTATCTATTTACAACGCTAGATGGCGGGGCGAGCTAATACGATAGTGACGATCTGCGTCTGCAGAGCAACGATGTTCTGCATCTGCCACGGTCTGCGCAGCATTGGATGTATTGAAGATTTAAAGACTGCGGACGACTGGTTGCTTCTTTACCTTGTTCGTCGTCGAAGTCCATGATGATGACGACGTCACGCACGATGAGACGAGGCTCCTCCTCCGTCTCCTCCTGACCGATCGCCTGTCTCTTCCTCCTTCGTGGTCCGAGCACGGTCGCGCACTCCGGCTGCAGAACAACGCATCAGCTATGAACACCATCCACCCAGTTACAGTTAGCCCTCAACACCCCTCCTGCTCCCTCGTACAGGTCCAGCTCAATATGTCTCATTTAAATTACGTGAATCCGAGAAAACCTACGTACTAATGTTTCGATGAGTTCGATAATATATAATATAATATCATATATGTTAAATGTTATGTCCGTCACAATTATATTATATTTATATGTGTTGGTCGTCGTAAAGTAAAACTATCTATAGTTCAGATTTAACGCTAAATAATAGATTATTCGCATAAAAAAATAATAATAATTTCTTCTTCTTCTTCTTCTTCTTCTTCTTATTATTATTATTATTGAAATTATGAATGGCGATGATTGTAGTTGTAGAGTGGTGTACACGTACGATTTCGCAGCGTCCAATGATGCACAGTCTGACGTCACACTGGTAGTAGACCTGTCCACTGGTTGGGAACTTGTGAGCGTTGAACGGACTGTATGTTCTCTTGTTCGCCGGGTCGTAGATCAGGTTGCCGAAAATCTGCTCGTCGACGGCACAGCTACACGTGGAATAATGAGATGTTTGTGTGTTAATTAATTCATCTAATTAATTTATCTAATTAATTCTTCTAATTAATTCTCTTAATTACATTTATACTGCTACATAT